ATACATCTTATATCGATATACTATATAAACATCTTATATACTATATATATTCGATATTAAATATTGAATATTAAAATTTAGGATGTTAAATAAAATTTAGGTCATAATTCTATAATAAAATTTACAAAGCATTGCCATAGATATTTTTTTTTAACATCCTTTTATCTCTAATATCTATTTAAATTTTTTTTTAAAAAAAAATATGTTGCGCCCACTTAGCCCGTTTAGCCCGCGGGCCGAGACCGTTTAGCCCGGGACCATTTGGCCCGTTTAATTTGGGACCGGCTCGGGACCAGGACTGTTTGGACCGGCCCACTTGGCCCGTTTAGGACCGGGACTGGCCCACTTGCCAGCCCTACCCACAGACTATGGTTTTGTATCAGACTATGACCAACATAATCCTGTGACATCTAGAGAAAACTTTCAATCACCATCCCAATTCATCAACCAAAGTAGTTCTAGCACACCTCAGTCAACCTCTACTTCTTATTCAAGATCATCTTCTCATTCCCCTTTGCCCATAACACTTCCAGAAATCAGGAAATCCACTAGACCACATAACACACCTGCATACCAATAAAATTATGTTTGCAACTAAGTATTACTTACTGATTTGACTAACTCTTGTTTCATGTCACCAATTCAACCTAATATGTTACCCTTTACAGCCCTTTCATTTGCCAACCAATCCTTAATTAACTCCACTTCTTACCTATCAGAACCTACCTCCTACTCTCAGGCTATGTTGCATCCAGGTTGGCAATAGGCTATGGCTAAGGAATTGAAAGCTCTTGAACTGAACAAAACTTGGAAAGTAGTCTCTTTACCTACTGGGAAGAAAGCTCTTCCCTGCAAATGGGTCTACAGAGTGAAGTACAAGTCAGATGGTTTTTTGGAAAGGTTTAAGGCTCGTTTGGTTATCAGGGGAGACACACAAAGAGAAGGCATAGACTTCACTGAAACCTTCTCTTCAGTTGTTAAGATGACAACAATCAGATGTCTAATTGCTATTGCAGCAAAGAAAGGATGGCAAGTATCACAACTAGATGTGAACAATACCTTCCTACACGGAGATTTGCAGGAAGAGGTATTTATGAAATTCCCAGCATGACTATCACCACCTTCACCCAACCATGTTTGACTTTTTGAAAAAGTCTCTGTATAGACTGCGACAAGCGTCAAGACAATGGTATGCCAGGCTCACTGCAACCCTCAATTTCAAAGGGTATTCATATTCCCTAAATGTCTATTCATTATTTTTTAAGAAATCAGCAAACAAAACTACTATAGTTGTTGTATACGTTAATGATATCCTAATCACAGGGAATGACTCCAATGAGCAAGTAGAACTTAAATTATTTCTTCATTCTGAGTTCAAAATCAAGGATCTAGGGGATGCACATTATTTTTTGGGGTTTGAAATTATTAGAGAAAACCAAGGAATCATTTTGACTCAAAAGCGTTATACCTTAGACCTCTTGTCTGAGTTTGATTGCACGCAAATAAGACCAGCCTCATCTCCTTTGGATCCCACTCAGAAGCTTCGACCAGAGCAAGGTACTTTGCTTCAAGATCCCACCTTTTATCGTCGATTGTTGGGGAAATTAAATTTCCTCACACATACTCGACTATACCTCTCCTTTGCTGTGCAACACCTCAGTCAGTTCATGCAAATGCCTCGTCAGCCTCATCAAGATGCAGCTTTTCACTGCCTCAAATATCTCCTCAAAGACCCTGGTTTGGGACTTTTTCTAAACTCCAGATCTGATTATCAGCTGCTTGCCTTTTGTAATTCCGATTGGGGATCATGTCCCCAATCTCGGAGATCCATTAGTGGATTTTTCATTAACGTGGGAGGCACTCTTGTTTCCTGAAAATCAAAGAAGCAGACTTCAGTCTCTCTTTCCTCTGCTGAAGCGGAGTATCGCTCAATGAGAAGAGTTACAACGGAAGTTACCTGGTTGGTTCGTTTATTAGATGATCTATCTATTTCCCCTTCCTTGCCGGTAAATCTCTTCTCTGATAGTCAGACGGCTATCCACATCGCCAAAAATCCGGTCTTCCATGAACGTACCAAGAACGTGGAGTTGGATTGCCACTTTGTGCGGCAACAATTTTTGGCTGGAATCATCTCACTCTCTTACATCCCGTCCAAATCTCAGCTAGCGGATATCTTCACAAAACCCTTGGTTGGGCCAGCCCACAATTCCATTGTTGGCAAGTTGGGTGTGGTTAATACCCCCTCTAACTTGAGGGGGTATTGGAGATGGTTATTTAGCTGGTTATTCAATATCTACCATAGCATAACCAAATTTTTTTGTCTTTTCATAATTCAACAGATCTCAGCCGTCCAATACAAAGCAAGTATTTTAATCTCAAACGTTCATCTCATGTTGACTCATTTTAATCAACACTGGTGATTTGGCACAGCTGTTAACTTTGGATATCTATTCTAAATTATTCCCTGTGCATGTGAGTACGTGATAATGCAGAGAAAACTGTTTTTATATTCTTGCATATTAGAAAGTTTGTTAGGATTAGACAAATAGAAATATTACACCTGTAAAGTAGCTGAACAACTTTTGATTCTTTTATCTATTTAAATACATGTAAAGTGAATGAATAAATACACAAAAAATTCTATACTGCTTTCTCTACAGTATTCTTTCAATTATTGGGAAGCTAATTGAAGATAGCAAACGGAAAAATTGTGTATGCTAAATAAGCAATCCAATTTCTGGACACATAAATTATAAAAACATAAAGAGAAGCCAAAAACGAAAACAATGGATCAAGTTTAAGCCTAGTGGCTATAAATTTACTGTTCAACACTTAGATGAGAGTTTCTCTAGTTCTCATCTCCACAATTCACGTACCACCTCTTACCTCAAAAGAATTTTGTGGTCGAGAAAAGAGTAAAAATAAAAATAAAAATAAAAATAAACTGTTTTCACAAGCAAGAAAAGTGATTCTCCTCTCTTTGTTAAGGACAAGAATAATTAACAAAGAACAACTCCAGGAAAAATGAGTGAAAAAATGGCTAAGGACAAGGCAATTGGGGTAGCAGTGGACTTCTCAAAGAGCAGTAAAGCAGCTCTAAAATGGACCATTGAAAACTTGGCTGCTAAAGGTGACACCATTTACATCATCCACATCAAAACTCACACTCTCAGTGAGTCCCGCGATCAGCTCTGGGCTAAAACTGGTTCTCGTAAGTTATCCGATCAGTATAATTTAATCAGTTATAAAATATTATCTGTTTTATTTTCTCAACAATTACTTCTTAGCAGCTATCTGTAGTTATTGTTAAGTGATATGATGGTGTAAATATTCTTCTTTTTTTTTGTTAGCACTTGTTCCGTGGGTGGAGTTTAGGGAGCCAGATGTGCTGAAGTATTATGATATCAAGAGTGATGTCCAAGTTCTTGATTTGCTTGATACAGCTGCTAAGCAGAAAGAGGTTTTGATCTATTAATTACGGTCAAATTTTTCTATAACAACCTCGTTTGTTCCAGATTTTTTTGGTTGTTATATAGCGATGTTGTTATAGAGAGTTTTGACCGTATATGCTAATTGTTGCATTCTCTTTAGTCATTTCTTGATTTTTTTTACAGATAAACATTATGGCAAAAGTGTATTGGGGAGATGCCAGAGAAAAGGTATGTGACTCTATTGAAGATCTGAAGTTGAATTCATTGGTCATGGGTAGCAGAGGCCTAAGTACCATCCAAAGGTACTTATTTTCTATAACTCTAATCCATTTCTATTCTTCTCTTTTTTCACTCTATAAATACTGAATTAACGTTTGAATATGTTCCTTTTGGTGTGGTGCTGATAAAACAGGATAATGTTGGGAAGTGTAACAAACTATGTATTGGCAAATGCTGCCTGTCCTGTGACTATAGTAAAGGATCCTGATTTCCACAAGCATTGATGAGAAGTGAGTGCCAAATGAATAAGTGTTTTTTTTTTTGCTAATGAATGAATAAGTGTTTATTTTTTTGCTAATGAATGAATAAGTTGAAACATGAATGGTTTTTATATGATTTCTATCTCTTAGGATTTAACTTATATATTACAACAGATTAATTACTCTATTTTCTACGCTATCATATCAGGTTTGATATGACTAGTTTTATGTTATTGTAGGTTATAAAATTACTATGCACTGTTAATGTGCAGTAGTTAAAATTCTTTCTCTTATAGCTAACTCTCAATACTACAACGAGACAGCTTCGGTCTGGTTTTGATCAGAAATGTGAACTAAATAATTTGCGACCAATATTTTTCTGGTCAATCTTCTCTCCCCTTCTTTGGGGGTGGAATTTGTGGCGTCAACCCATCGGGTTTATCGTTTTTCTAATTTCTTCTCTAGCATTTCGGGGTATAGGTCTAACCACCTCAATTCTCCGTTTCTGGCATGCTATAGTTATTAAAGTCTCTCGACGGCGGGAATGGGAGATTATCGGTAAGCCAGATGCTTCGCAAACCATATTCAACTTTAAGGCATTTCGTTGCACTTTAATCACCCTCGTGAAGAGGCGCACTCTGATACCATTGATGTCCAATAACTTTTATAGTAATTGTTGGATCTACTACTACTTCATCCATTGAGTATAACAGAGTAAATAATGGTATAGCAATGAACATAAGGATGATACTAGGATATATGGTCCGAAGAATCTCGATAGTTGTTCCATGAACAATCTTTTGCGGGATTGGATTTTTTTTATAGTGAAAATGCCATAAAGCGTGACCCAAGATCCATGATACGAAAACCAAAATTAGAATAACGAAGAAAAAGTGAACTATGAAAAGCACTTTATAGTAGTGAGTCTATGTTGCTCTAATGCTGGGATTATGCTGGCTTGAGCTGGGGTCTACCGGAAGCAGCAACTCTGCCTGCACAAGGTAGGAGTAAGCAGAGACGGATTTGAGATTGATGTTTTATGGATTCAACCTTTAAAGTTTTTAGTATTGAACTCATTGTATTTTTAAAGTTATGGGCTCATAGTGTTATATATTGCAATATTAATGAATTTTTACACATAAATTTATGCTTTGCGCCAGAAGTATTGGATTCAGTTGAACCCGGAACTGATACATTGCATCCGACTCTGGGGTAAGGCTCCATACATACTACCGCCAGACTCCATTTATGAGATTCCACTGGGTTTGTTGATGTTGTAATGTAACTATGTATTCACTTTGATAGCGTTTAGTTAGTGTGACATAAGACATTATGGGGTTTAATTTAAGCCAGTAACTAGTAATCATTTAAATTCATTTTAGCATAAGATACTGAATTGAGGTAGGCATTAATTGTAGAGTAGGTTAAAAAACAAAGTGATATTTACTGAAACATTTAAATGTGGGGTGGTTGAAAAGGAATTATTGGGGCAGAGCTGCTTAGTTGTGTAACTAATTACTTGGTGCAAAACCCATTATAGTACCTCCCAGGCCCCAGCTATCCCTTGATATTGACCATACTTTTTGTTTGTTAAGGGTCTAACCTTTAAGGGCTCCAAAGAGACAAAGCCCAGCATTTCTATGTCCAGGCCTATTAGCAGTGGCCCAAATACAATTATTGCCGCGTAAAGTACACAAATAGCCCTCAAAGTGGATGGTCTTAGAAATTTTCATAAATCACTATGGTCTAGTGGCTATTAACTATAGCTACCATATACATATTTACTTCCTATATCTAATATTTCATTGCTACCGGATTGTATTCGTGTATTCGCGCTACTGTATTCATAAATACAGTTACGGAATTTGCCTAATAAGTAGGGACTCCAACTGTTTAATAACGGAAAGGGATCAATTAGCGTGTATCACTCCTATTTAACTCAACAAAATCAATTCTATAAAATTTCGTTGTTACTGTGATGTATTCCATGTATTCGCGCAACTGTATTTATAAATACAGTGAGGTAATCCGCCTAAAAATAGGGATTATAACTATTTAATTATGTATTTCATATATTTGTGAGACTGTATTTAGAAATACAGTAAGGTAATCCGCCCAAAACAGGGATTACAGCTGTTTAATTATGTCTTTCATGTATTCGCGCGAATATATTTATAAATATAGCGAGGTAATCCACCTAACAAATAGTGATTACGAGTGTTTAATAACGGAAAGCACAATATTGAGTTGTATTCAATTTCACTATATTGAATTCAATTGTATTCAAACAACAAAAAATCAAAAAATATGGTGTATACCGTTCTATTCAATTCGACTGTATACATTGTAATCAATTCACATATATTTATTATTCACTATTATACATTGTATTCAATTCACCGTATTCAATTCGACTGTATTCAAATAATAAAAAATTACAAAATAGTGATATTCGACTGTATTAAAAAAATAGACCTTCGGAATACATTAATACAGGCGAAAATATAAGTATTTATACAAAAATATAATGTATTTGAGTGTATTTGTACAAAATATAATGTATTTATATCATTATATGTGACTCAATAGCAAAGAAGAGAAGAAAGTTTGTTGGAGATGGCATTTTTCGGCAAGCAAAATACTGCATATATTGTATTAAAACTAAAAATGGAGACAAACAAAAATCCGACCCTCAAATCTTCTTCGGCGACTATGCTTCAGATTTCCAAAAGCTCAATCTGTAGCCATGGCCAGATCTGTTCGCCTGCTCTCTCTTCGCTTCAGATATATTCTCTTCGCTTCAGAAAGTCCACCAAAAATGGTTGCTACGATGACTGCCTTGATGGAAAAGGGAGAGAGATTTGAGGGAGAGGAGAGAGAATTGCGAATCTTGCTGATAGAGAGAGAGAGAGAGAGAAAGAACACAACTGGCGTATTTGACACCTCAATGGTAGGGTATAAAATAAATACCTATTTTGTTATAAAATAAAAAATATAGCTATAAGTAATAATATTTTGAAATTGTTTTGGTTTATAATAAATAGGGTGTAATAGTTTGCTATAGGATGTAAAATTTCTAATTTTTATCCTCGCTTGCCCATGTGCAGAACTTCAAGTTTAGCAAGTGTTGTCCCTCGATTGTCCCATTGACAACATTTTTTAACTTTTGACCTTGAAACTCTGTCTATAGAACAAGCAGGGATCAAAAATTAAATACCACCCAAAAAAGTGTCATATTTCTGTAATTTTTTTATTATTGTTGCGGATTAGTTCAAAATGCCCCAGCAGATTCCGAACTGCATGGGTTGGGTTTCGACAGAAAAATAAAGAAAAAATACAAAGTCGAGGTAAGATGAAGAGCACACCTTGCTTGGAAAAAATAAGAATGATTTCAATTTTATTCTGCTCCTACATGGTGTAATATAGTTCAAACAGTGGTGGAAATTAAACAACCTTTAAAAAGGGGTGTTATTCGACAACACTTAATAATATAAAAAATTGCTTAATATATGCGTGTAAATAATTCTTTTAAATACAATATTTATACGAACAATAAGTTGCCATCGCATAAAAATAATACCAAAGTAAATATCACTTTCAGACGAAAAATAAAGTCATAAAACGGATATACTCATATATCTAAATTCATTACAAGTCGAATTGTGACAATAGATTAATACTACTTATGTAAAATACTACACCTCTGGTTGTTATTTTCAGCTGGAACAACCGGCATTATGATCAACACCGTATTAATTGTCATGGACAACTTTATACCTTACAAGGAAAGCTACAAGAAAATAAAGTAAAAACCTTATGTGGGGTTTTAAAGTGTTAGATGCGTTAGAAGATACTATGATTATTAGTGGCCCAAACAAGAAATAAATACCAAATTAAATTTTCAGCTCCACAAGATACTATAAGTATCATTTTCAGTAATGGCCCATTTATAGTGCCAACTAATTCTTTGTGGAAGTAAGGTCATTTTCCTATATCTCCCACTATATAACCTATATCTTTTTCCTAAAGGAAGTGAAAGGTTCATTGATTTTTTTTCTTTAGGAGGGTACCTATTCCTTCAGTTATTTCCAGTTCTACCATGTTGCCATTTAACTCCTATTTGGCAACTTCTCTTGTCATGTCTGTATATAGTGAAATCCTCTATGTCCACTCTATTTGGGCTTATTTCATTCCATTACTAGTATTTTTAAAGAAACATTAGGGGTGTTCTAAATATAAAAGTTCTCTAAATTTAGTATTTAATCGTAATTAAACCTATTGTACGTTTAACATCAACAAATAAACCGTAAAATCGTAGCATTTAGATAAGTTTGTGTTTGTTCTAGGTTTTTTCTAGACAACCTACTTCATGTGATTTTAGGTCTAAGTCGATTGATCTTCGAACATTCGATAACTATAATGTCCCACCTATGTATCAGTACATTTACCCTCAGTTTTAAAGAGAAAGTTTTTAAAATCAAGTTACTTAATCAGTTAAACATAAATTTCTACTATGAATATATATGGGTAAAATTATTTGAAAAAGAAGAAAGGGAATAACATGTTGTGACTTATAAAAGTACATTAAATTAACATGTCAAACTATTTACAAAAGTCGATGGATAAAAACATATTAAAAATTAGAAGAAATAAAAGATTGATGATTAGAAAAGAACAAAAAAGAAACGCCGTAGGGTTGGGGGAGTTAGTTAGGAGCGGACCACTGACCAAACTTTGATATTCCTCCAACAACAAGCTTGTGATTGTGGACCTAGCAATTGGTAATATTGTTTGGGAGTTGGGATCCCTTTAATTTCTCAGGTGGACAAAAAAAACATCCTTTTTGGTCATTTTCATAGTTTTCCAAATTAACCTAATGGTAGGTATGGCCTTGGATTTGCTAGCCAGTTGAAAGTACTCACAGTAAACTTATTGCACTTAGCATGTGCAATGTTTCTTTTCGTTACTATTTGGTGTGCGGTACGTGCTTTGGAAATGATAATTCGGACTTATATCACGAAGTTTCTTTTGGAGGAAAATATCTCCCTATAAAAAGAAACTTTCTACCTAAAGCTCGTGAGACTTCTAATTCAAAGTGATTACTTGTCATTCAATCACAATCTTTAGTAGTCGTGCATGTGCATTTCAGTTGGTTGTCATCTCCGTTTATAGAGGCGGAACCAGG